CGATTCAGAATGATTTGCATACCCTGAGGATCGTCACCAAGTAAGGCGATATCATCAGCATAATCTAAGTCAGTCGCGCGCTCACCCGGTAGAAGCTCCAGGCCAAAATGTTGGAAACCTCCTAGGGCATTCGACAGAACGTCTTCGATTGCGAAGTTGAAGAGGAATGGGGACATAGGGCAGCCCTGTCGCACACCGCTATTGACAGTGAATTGCGAGGAAACCTGGCCGTAGGCCCTCACTATGCCGGATGTATGAAGGTAAAGTGCTCGTAAGATGGCGGTAGATTTCTCTGATACCCCATTCTTAAGCAAGGAACGCCATAAAGCAGGTCGACCAACGGAGTCAAAAGCGGCACGTATGTTTGGAATGCAACGATAGCGGGCCTTCGAGAAATGTGGCGGGAAGATTTAGCCCACGCAGCCGAGGCCGGGACGCAAACCAGCTTGTTCTTCACGGTAGGATGGTTCATGTATTGGGGACAGTCTACGGATCAGAACAGATGCCATTAGGTTGGAGGCAACCGGAATAAGACTGATCCCGCAATGAATTATACATGAAGTGTGAGCGCCTTTCGTGAAAATCGGGAAAATAACCGATTCGTCCCAAGAGGAAGGCACTTACTATTCATGCCCGATTTTCCCGAACAGCGAGGTCAGCTGGTTAATGATTGCCAAACCGCCGTACTTAAATAGCTCCGGAGGAAGTCCGCCTGAGCCGGCAGTCTTGAACCGCTTCAAACGTCGAATCTCGAGGCAGACTGCCGCTTCGCTGGGTGGGTTCAGTGGGACAAGTAAGGGTGGACAACAAAGGTGTACAGCGTGTATTGATGGACGATGGATGCCAGTTGAACTGCGAGTGAAAGTGATTGGCCCAGCGGCCCATACGCCTCTGTTGGTTGGTGACCTGAGACTCATTCAGCTCGCAAATGACCTCATTGACATCAGGCTTCCTGATGCCAGTGGACCGTATGAGTTGGAAAAGCTTACGAGTGTTGAGAGAGTGAGCAGCGGCCACTATCTTCAAAGCACGCTCAGACCACCATGTCTCGCGATGCTTGCGTAGGCTTTGCCTGAGCAACCGGTTGGCAGAACGGCGCCGCTAGTTGCAATCTGATTCCGCCGCGCTTTCTTTGTGGCGTTCGAACAGCTCCAGAGAAGGAGCAGAGATTCAAGCCTTTAAGGGGTGTCGAGCTAGGCTGCAGCTTGACGGTTCTGAAATGATCATCGCTTTCTGTATACAAGTCCAGTGTTGCTCCACATCTTGCGGTGGATCGTAACTGAGTGTCTATGCCAGTGAAGACTGACAGCTCGCCTGAACAGAGGAATCAGTTAATCGGTTTACATTACTCTTGCGGTGCTTCGTGTTTCCGGACCCCCGAACACACAAACAGATTTTCGCGCAGACCGGGGCATGATCTGAGTCAAGGAAGGTGGATCAAAATGATCTGCAGTCCAGTACGCTGCCACGTCATCTGAAGCTAATTGCAATGTGATCAATTTGAGACCACAGTTGTGTAGGCGAAGGGAAACGTCACGTTGTGGAACGCTTCTTCGTACGCCTGAAGTTACTGCTCGATAGAAACAGATGGTTGCCTTTGCACAATGTGAGAAGCCTCTCTCCGTTATCAGAGCGGTTCTCATCGAGCGAGTGATGACCACCAAGATGGCGTTCGTATGGTAACAGGTGGCAAACCCGTGCATTAAAATCCCCAGCAAGGACAACGATATCCGACATTATAGTATTAGTCAAGAGATGATGCAGATCCCGGCAGAATTCGTCCTTGACCGAGCCGTCACTGCAATCAGTTGGAGCGTACACGGAGATCACACACAAGTTTCGCCTCTTTTCGCAGTGCTTGTTGATTCTACATAAACCTCGAAGCCGCACTGCACATAGACGGCTGTTAATCGGGAACCAGTCCAGTAGTGACGCCTCGGTCTTGCCATTTAGTGCTATCCCTACATCAGCCAAACCTGCTGAGACTGCTTCTGAATCTCCAAGAAGATACAAGTGATATCTGTCTTCGTGGTCAGTGGGGGGATGTCAATGTAAGCAGAGTGCTGGGATCTTTAAATCGGGTTTCTGAAAGGCAACGGACATCAATATCGAGAAACTCTAGGGTGCGCGATAGACCGAATGCTGTCCATTCTGCATGAGTGTCCGAAGGTTGAAGCACACAGAACGGAAAGAGAATCGTGGCCAAAGGAGAACCATAGGTTGAACTCCGTGGTTCACAACGTAAGCGGAATCGCAACCAGATTGTTGAACACATGAAGCGGATAATGGAAGTTAAGGATTATTAGCAAACAAACAATAAACTTGAGGTGAAGTCGCGTTACTGTGAGAACCAGAAACGGTAGTTGATGAGTTGGTTGTAGTACAGTCCATGGTTTTGTGAGAGGGCGTGATAATACCCGGTTGCCCAAGCCGAAGTAGGGAGTTGACTTGGGGGAACCCACCCCGAGCCTTTGGCTATATAACCAGCCCGCACGGGAGCAGGGCGAATTTAGGGAATTGCGCTTATTGGGAGGCGCTGACTGAATGTTCAGTTCATGCGTCTTCCGTTTGGTAGATCATCAAACAGGGGCCCAATACTCCCCAACGAGGTGGAACATGGTCGCCGTACACTTCGCTAGAACGGGGTACACGCAAACCATCTAGCCAGTAACACGAGAAAATAGTTCGGCAAGCATAACTTCATGTGGTAAACCAAATTGCCAACAAACGCATTGGGTCACTATAGAGTTTCTGGAACTTTTGGATTCTCGCCGACGTATTTCGGCTGGGAGCGAAGATAATGAGAGTCGAAAAAATTTCAGGGCAAAACCGCGTGCTAGCCTAGAGAGACCGCGAAGTCACATCGTGCATCGGAAATCGAAACAGCCACTGCCCTTGGTAATCATCGGAAATTATTTCGTCTGGTACGTGAAACCGGCAGCAGGAGACCTGATAATAGCGAGACTATATGTGGTGACAGTGGACAACCGATCCACAGCCTGTCAAAACGCTTGCAGCGTAAAAGGTGTGGAGCTGCTTCCTGATGAGCGACTTCTTAGTTGGAGTACGCTAACGACATTGCCATCATATGTGACAGCGCCCAAACGTGACAAGCAGCACTGGACAGATTAGCACTGCCTGTCAATTGTTTTAGGCTATGCTTTGCTCTCTCGAAATGTAAGGTCCTCCTCCAAGATTGGCAGGGACGTACGGCTGAGTTGACCCTCGGTGGGGATCAGCTAGAAGTCGTACAGGAATTCAAGTACCTTGGCAGAGTTATTGTAGATGAGAACACGAAGCGTATAGCGAAAGCTCGAGGTGCTCATGCCATTATCCGCCACCTATGGCGCCAGCGTGTGTATAATACAACCGTCCGTTGAACCCTCTTATTCGGTTGTGAAACCTGGCCCATCAGGTCGACAGATATGAAGAGGCCAGATACGTACGAGCATCGTGGCCATCGCAGCTTAGCTCATGTCTGGTGGAGCACCGCGTGAGCAATGAATATGCTCGGCGTCGTGTATTTGGAGCGGGAAGAGGGAGTGATATGCTCAGCACCATTATATCCCGCAGCAGGCTCCGATGACTAAGCCACGTGTTGTGCATGTGAGCACACCGACTCCCCCGACGTGCGTCGTTTGCGCGCCCGAGGTATGGGTGAAAGAGAAGCAGGGGACGCCAAGCAATCACTTAGTCAAAAGGAATGAAAATCCTCACTTCGAGGTTGGTGTCTGTTGATGCATTCCCACTGCGGGGCTGGGATCCTAAGGACGATGAACACGTTTGGTTGGACACACTCGCTGACATGTGTAAGAGCCGGCCTCAGTGGCGTTTGCACAGTGAGTTTCTTTGTCCACCCCTTCTCCTTTAGATTTCCGCTAAAAGTAAGATCTCTTGGCATGCTACTAAGCATTATGCTATTTGAATTTTGAATTTCGCGGAGTGTTATTACTGGTATCTTAGCCTTTTGTATTGCCGCACCTTAGCGGAGGGGTTTTTCTCATCCTCAGACAACGAGTACTGATTGAGAATGAGGATGATTCCAACGAAAAACAGCTCCCTAGTCAGAAAGGTGGTTCAAGGTTAACAAACACTGCAGTTATGCACAGGAGGGCTAGTTAGTTAAACACAAACTGTCGGACCTCAATAGCGCTTTCAAACTGTTCCCACTAAATGTAAATAATACTCCGCAAGCATTAGTTATCAAGGCCTGCCAATCGTTTCAACTCATCGGTGCGAACTGGTCACATGGCTGAGCAATACATTAGCATTATCGTAGCACCCTATGCCAAGCGCTGGGAGTCACAGTAGGAACAACTCATGACATAAAGGATATTCCATTCGCAGGTAGACAGTACCATAAGCTGGCAAGGTAAATACGGTCGAAGGTGACTTTCAAACAGAGGGAAACCACGACATCAATAGTCTGTAAGTGTGCTTCTGCTGCAGTGCTTGATGAAGAACAAATATGGGGTCATTAAAACCACGACCAAGGCGGAAGCCGGTAGGCTTCTCAATGCTTCGGCTCTAATGAAGACCGATGAGCCGTCGCAGAACGATAATTGTGAGACGTGTGGAGACAAAGAGGGGATTCGTCGTTGACGGACTCCGAATTGCGTCCAGTTGGAGCCTGCATCGGAACAGTGAAAAGCCTACAAGTCGAACCATGCACATTTGGTCGTCCTCATGGATACACTAGAGAGCACTACAATCAGCCCTTTCGTTGAAGGAATCATTGGTAGTGCCCAAAACTCTTCGCGATTAACAAGAACCTGACAGAAATACGAATGAGATGGCCAATGGGACATGACTTTTCCCCGTGCGGCGAATAATACGCTAGGCCAGCGCGATTGTGCAGGTGTGTGTTGAATCATTAGCTCACGTCATTTCAAACTGATCCACCGCAGTCGGGCGGACGAAATATAAATGATCGATTGAACTCAACGCGTACTGAGTGCACACATCACGATGCAGCGACCGGTGAATGACCAAATGCTCACCTGATTCCAGTGCCTCCGCCACGGACACCAAGTCGTCTGGGTGTATTAAATCCAAAAGATTGCGACCAACCACATCCGCAGGTGAGTAATTGAGGACACTGAGGAAGCTGAACAGGAAGGCAGAGAGAACACAATGAAAGGAAAACTGAAGATATAGAGAGAGACCTGAAAATCGTCGAAATGTATCAGCAATGGCACAGCTGATTGACTGTGTACGTGGATGAAACTGCAATGAAGATGTCATATGCTAAGTTTGTCGTGTCCAGGGAGAGTTAGAATAGGTGATCCAAAAGAGTGTGGGGCAGCGATATTGCTGATTCATCAAACAATTCGGTAAAACACTGAACGCCAGTCCACGCATACGCATGCTTACAGGATAAGTATTGTAGTTAGACGCATTTGCCTAGAAATTCCACACCAGTTTCCCATAGACTTACAGCTATTACACCTTTTACCAACATATTTTTACCAAGGCGACTGGGCCTGCTGGATTTCGGTCACCCACAAAAACATCGCGATGGGAGGTAACCAGCTGACAAATCGGTAAATTGTCAAATGAATACTCGCACAAGTGGGAACACAACGAAAAATGAATAAATAACTAAATAAATTGTTTATTCCCGACTACGCGACACACGTATGCACAAGCATGCACATGAGTACGGCGAGTGACCGAGCAGTGTGCAAAAGTAGAATTTGATTGTCAGATGGGTGGATCAAGGAATGTATGTGAGTGTGAACGTACATGGGTGTCTAGCCATGCTGCTTGGGTTCGTCAATGTATAGCTGCACTATGACTGTGCTTAATCGGCGTCGCCAGTGTCAGAAGGGATAGCTGAAGTCCGTGGGTTTGAAACTATTGTACGGATAAGCAAGAGGCAGTGAGTTCAGTTGGCGACGAGTCATAACCGCCACGTCGTAGTGTTATTACACAGACATTTGTGGCATCGCATAAGGTGAAGGTTTGCCAGGCAAAAACCCATCACGTCCCGGAACACTGCCGCCAAACTAATTGCTGAAACGGAGTAAACCTGAACCACACAGCTGGCACCACGAGGAGGTTGTTCGGATAGCAAGCATGTTCTATCGAGGAAGCGAAACCTCAAGTGCTTAGTATTGTCAGTCACATTCTCATGCAAGGATTACAATCGCGCAGGCACACAGTTATCGTGACAGGAGTAATCGATCTAGATAGCAACGCAGCAGAGGTGAAAAACAGTCCGAAATATTTGGACGAAATAACCGTAATGCGGAGACCGAATTTACCTACGCATACGCACACTACAGTGGCGGTGAGTGAAGCGAATGTATTGAATAATTCACACCAGGAAACAGTGAGAACACCAGAATACAGAACGGGATCAAAATATCTCGCATGTCGTTTCGCCTGTAGTGAGATGAGCAGAAATCGGGGTACAAAAATCGACAAAAAATAAGTCGCCGTCATTTTGGTACTCACAATGGCCGAGTGCCATGGAAGACACGCAGACACGGAGTCAAAAACGTCAATCCTGTAACGATTGAATGAGCGAAAATTCCGGTGGTTATGGAGAATTAACTGATGAAAAGAAAAATGGTGTTTCAGCGCCAAAAGTACCTTGCACAATCGGAAAAAGTGAGAATGCAGCTGAAAGAGACTTCAGGATTAATACGGACGGACGTCATCGCATAGTAAGAGATAGCAGCACCATGTGTTAGTAATGGCAAACCATAGAAATCAATCCAAAGAAAACAAATTCCTGAGTGGAGCAAAAGCGATCAAAACAAGGTCAACGGAGATCGGATAAGGAGATAAACCAAGTGGAAAATGAGTTGTTCGGAGGACGTAAACACACATCAGGAGAGCTAGATGGCAAGAGGATGAATCGAGACAGCTAGTTTGGCTGATGAAAACATTTCGCAAGGCACGGAATGCACACATTGAAAACAATCAGTATAGTTGAAGACTTAAGAATAATCAGAACAATGGAATGCAGTGTAACCAAGTAGCAAGAGTCGAGGCAACATAGCAAGGGGAATATTTCTAGAAAAGGAAGTTTTATGCACCCAGTGTATGATGTGCAACGGCTCAGCCAATGCTTTGTGTACGTCTGTTACGCATGATTCCCCAAAAGGTTGACAGAACTGTTGCTGATGTGCATATTGAAGGATGATGGAAGATGACTCCCATCCACATGCCTTTCGGTCTCATTCCTTCGTGTTCACACTGGATATGGAGTGTGTGAGTGGATCATTGGGTGATGCAGCGCAAGCTAAACCTGGTGCAGGCATCCTGTGGCTGTCCAATGTAGGCCGCAGTGACAGGCAAATTCGGAACCAGATGCTGCCAACCATATATATATATATATATATATATATATATATATATATATATATATATATAACATTCTAAATAGACGTGGAGCTATCAAACCATGGAAATGGAAAAGATTCGCAACCGTGAAACAACGCTGAGCGACGGAGCACTGTAAAAGCGGCTATAGTGACGCGGAAAGTAACGTCCTTTCCGAAATAACCAAAAGCAGAAAAATAACGCCCAAGGTAGAAGAGCTGTCCACCTGTTCGAGCTGTGCAATTTCAAGGAAGCAAAGAAACGAGTGTGGATCTATCCTGGAACAGTACTTTACGCTTGGAGAGGGCAAAGCACATGCCATATCTAAATCCTTAGATTGTCAAACATCATCAACAACAACAACAACAACAACAACAACAGCATATCAGCTATTTGAATTGATGCTTCGCTACCATACAACCATGATGACCTGTGGAAGGAGGAACAATAAAAGAGATAGAAGGAGAAATACCTGGAAAACTATAATGCCATAAGCAAACATTCTCAAGGCCAAGACGCCTACACCATATCAACAGCATACCGTCACAAACAGCTGGCTGTAGTGCAAAGAACGAGTAGCATGCTCTGTGGATCGTCAGCAAGTAAGATGATATCAACCGCATAATCTAACACGGTCGCGACATAAACAATTAGAGAACGGAAACCATACTTTTGGAAGCCAATCAGAGCTCTCGAGAGGACGGCTTCAAACACAAAATTGTAGAGGAACGGGGATATAAGGCAGTCCTGCAGCACACCGCTACTAACAGTAAAGTATGAAAAAAGCTTATCCTCAATGCGAAAAAGACATGAAGGCGTACTGCACGTAGAATAGCATTATATTCCTCAGCGTTCGAATCCTTTAGCAAAGCCACAAAGCAAGTTGCTCGGCAGAGTCAAAGGCAGTCAGTCTGTTTGGGAATGCGATGATAGTGGGACTATGGTAAAGGTGGAATTGTATGAGGAGTCGGTGAAGCGTGAAGAATTGATACACGTATCTGCGGTAAGGACGGAAAACCGCTCCTTTCTCAAAGTGCTATGATTCACAAATTGGGGATAGTCTGCAAAGCAGTATGGATGCCGATAGACTGGAGACAATGAGACTAATCCCTAGATGATTTGGGCACGAAGAGAGAGGGGCGTTTTGGAAAATCGGGATAATGACTGATTCGCCCCAAGAGAAAGGCATTTGTTTTTCACGTCGTTTTAGGGAACAATGAGGTGCATGAATAACAAAAGGTGAAGTCGGATTGAGCAGATAGGCTTCCGTCGCTTCAGGTGCCAAATCTCGAGGCGGACTTATGCGTTAATGGATGGATCTAACAGGGAGAGCCAGAAGATAATAATAATAAAATAATAATAATAATAATGTGTCAGCTGTACGCCGTAACGGCGCTTCGCTGCCGCGCGACCACCACCAGTCGTGCGCGGGCTGAGTATACCGTGAGGACGCCCACTCCTACGCGGATTTGAACCGGTGACCTTACGGTTGCAAAGCAAATGTGCAGACCACTCGGCCACCGGCCGACAGAGCCAGAAGAAGCACCTAGGTATAATGTGCAGAAAGATGGACGGTGGAGTTCAGTTGAAATATGAATAAATGGGCTCCGCGTAGTGGCGCAAATGCATGTGTTGGCTGGTGATCGAAAACACACCAACCTCAGAAATGACCTCAACGGCACAAGGCTTCCTGAGGCCAGCAGATCGAATGAGTTGGAAAGGCATACGTAGAGCGCAGGTCTCTACCTCCGAAGTACACTCAGACCACCAAGTCTCGTGATTCTGGCATAGGCTTAACTTGAGTTACAGGTTGGCAGAGTTGCGTCGTTTACCATAACTTTGCTGTGACCGGATATCACTGCGTGAAGATATCCAAACCGGAAAAGGGCGTCGGGCGAGACTGCAGTTTGATCACCCTGAAGTGAGCATTGTCATTTGTATACAAGTCTGGTCTTGCTCCAGGTTTTGCGGTGGAGTGCAAATGAGCTAATCTGTTCACATCAACTTAGCTGTGCTTCGTTTGTCAGGATCACCAAAACACAATTTTGCATAAACTAGCACATGATCTGAATTGATAGACATATCAAAATGAACTATAGTCTTGTAAGCTCTGTCGTCATTTGAAGCTGATTGTAATGCGATTAAGATTACGCTTGTGTTGGCGAAGTTGGATGCCGGGCTGCAGTATGTCGTATCGCATGACTGAAGTTGGTGCTTGAAAGAAAAAGATGATTCTCACCGCAAAATGTGAGAAATCTACCACTGATATCTAAGCGACCCTCATTGAGCGCCCGATGACCGTTCAAGGGTAACAGGCGACCGACCTGAGCACTGAAATACTCAGGAAGGAAAATGGCATCCGATTTGTCAGCGTTGCTCAATATCTAATAGCTAGAGACCGTCCTTGATCGAAGCACAGCTGTAGTCAGTAGTGGCGTGCGTGAGATCATAAACAACTTGTGTCTGTCCTGGTGATGCATGTTGATCATGTATAAGAAGACAGACCGTCCAGTTGCCCAGTCTGCCTGAGTGTCCGTACCTCGAAGCACGCCAGACGGAATGAGGGTCAGCGGGGAAAAACGGCCACTGGTTGAAGTTCATAGTCCTCAGTGAAACCAGCACAGGAAGTAGGTCAAAGAACAAAGGAATCAGGTAACAGAAAACAGAGATAGTCAACATATGCGACGTTGGTGTACAAAAAATGCGCATGAATGTAAGAAGTAGAAACAGTAGTAAATGGGTAAAAAGTGGAACAGCCCATCGTTCTACCGGGGT